ACTTACTTACTTAACTACTACTACTCTCTCTCTCTCTCTCTCTCTCTCTCTCTCTCTCTCTCTCTCTCTCTCTCTGCAATTTGTTTCTTATTTATCATATATTTATCATATATTTATCTTAATATATTTATCTTAATTCTGTCAGACTTGATATTTACATAGACTTTTAAAAATTTATTTGATAAAGCTCTCTAATTTTTTCTAATTTTTCTAGCGTTTCTAGCTGTTTCTTGCATCTTTACATTTGATTTTCAGCATATATTATTGTATAAAAACATTTCCTAATCCTTTAGAATATTCCAAATAGGCATATTTAAAATCGTGTGAATTATTTGTTATTAAGCATAATGTTATCCCATATAAATAATGCCTAACATCTATTTTACTTTAGGGTGCACTCACAGAAGAACAAAAAGCAAAATTGAGACAGTACAAGGAAACCTGTATCGCTGAAACTGGAGTAGATGCAAGTAAGCAAAGAATAAGCTATTCCAATTGCACGTTTAAATAAAAATTAAGATAAATACTTGAATTAATAATAATTAAACTTTCAGCCATGGTAGAAAATGCAAAAAAGGGTGAAATAGCCGAAGGTGACGAAAAGCTTGCTTGTTTCGCTACTTGTTTGTTGAAAAAAATCGGAATTGTAGGTGCAGAAACGACATTTGTATATCTCATTCAAATGTGCGTTAGGAAAAAGTAAAAAAGTAATAAATGCATTTTAGTTGACTGCGAATGGAGACATTGACTGGGAAGTAGCTCGCGCTAAAATACCACCAGGTGTACCGCAAGAACAAGCTGATCAATTGTATAATGCGTGCAAAGATATCTGTAAGTCGTAATGTCTATAATATCGATTCAATAAGAAACAAGATCGATTTTTATTCGTTAACAGAATCATCATTATAATTTAATATTAACGATATAAACATTTCTTTTAAATGAAACTAGATTAAAATTGTAAAATATTATTTCAGCTGGAACTGGTTGCGAAAAGGGAGGCAATGTTTTTAAATGTTTCTACAAGAACAAGCAGTTTCACGTTTTATCATAAACGAATAAGACCAAAGTCCATATAGAAACTTGATTAAATATATCTCTCTACTTAAAATCTATCATCTATTGTAGAATTAAAATTAAAATATTGTCTTGCACATTTATATGTCAAATGTAAAGTTATATTAATAAAAAAATAGACACGTCGCTCTAGCACAAAATAAATTTCCTTTTATTTTTCCTAAATCCCCATAAATAAAAAATTTCTGTATAAACTGTATTAAAATATAAAATATTATTCGATAATTTACAAAATTTCAATTACATATTAAAAATAATAATTAATTTTAATAAAATAATTACAAATCGATTTGCAACGAAAGATGTAAAATAATATACGTGTATTTAACAGCAAAGATATATAACAAATAAATTATCATTATACATAACGTATTGTACATCTTTTTCTTTAAGAAAAATTTCTTAGCCAAATTTACTTTTCTATTAGAAAAGATAGGTTTGGATCTTCGCAGAGGTTTGAGTGTTTGCTAATTGATAATTGGGTTTGAGTCTCCGCTAATCGGGTTCGAATCTCTGCTAAATAGAATTTGAATTACCTCGCTAAGCTAACTATATATATATATATATATATATATCTTCCAAATCAATATTATAACTCCGTATAATTATAAA